ACACTGTCACACGCCATCCGATTACAAAGCTGGCTTGTATTCGCCTCGTGATTTATGCTTATTTAATAATTCAGACTTTTAACACACAGCCGCCAAATACAAACACAGTCAGACAGTCAGACAGTCAGACAGTCGACAAGTCGGTTAGCCGGAAGTGGTGAGCACTCGCCGGGTGAGCATTAAATTTATATCTGCCCGACTACATGCGGCGCTGAGACTGGCAGCTTGATGCCAGCCACGTCCACCACAAACAGCAGTGCGAGAGACAGCTCGAGATATCATTTACAGGCATAAGAATGCAAATGAGGCGGCCAGGCAGCAGACGGTCAGCTGGAGGGGAAGGACATGGCTAGAAACAAGTGTTGAGAGCGTTTGGCTGAGCAACAGCCAAAAGTCTTGGCCATATTACAAATAACGTTTAGCCAGGCCAATTCACGGGCATAAAATATTTGCGAGCCCCATTCAAAGTCAGCTTATAATCTATTATTAGCCCTATAAGGTCAACTTTGGCACAGACTGTTGTTTTATGTTCTATAATTACGCGCCCGAAAATTTGAAGGCGTCGCAAATTGTTGCGTAAATTTCAGCAAATGCCTTTGATTTATATGAGGTCATTTGAATAATTAATTCAGTTTGATCCACAGTCACACAACTGCATAAGCTAACATCTATTCACGCGCTGCCTGCGGTCTTGAGTGGATGAGCCTAAAATTTTGGCTAATGCCAGTGTGAGGCACGGGAGTTAAAGTTCCTGATTGGCACACAAGCACAACACACTCAAACACACATAAAAACAGACATGTGTGTGTGTGGGAGTATGTGACTAGCATTATTTAGTTGTTGATGCTAAAACAGTTTCTCGAACAATTTTGTCTATGTACCCAGAAATTTAGGTATACAACAAGACAAATCTCTCTTTTTAGAAGAGAATTCTTCTATCGATTTATTTATAATTAAAATTAAAAATTCGCAATGCTATATAACACGTATGCCAAGTAATAAATCAATTTAATTTTAATGTGACAAATGCAACTAACGAGATTAATTAACACAGTTGCAATATACTTAAATTGCTTAATCTTCGACTTGGCTTTCTATGTTTTATATAAATATGTCAGTATGATATTTATTTAAAATAGCAAGCACTTTCAATAAAGGACACTGAAAAACATTATAAAACTTTATCTTTGTATATTAAATATTGCGCCAGCCAATATTGTTGCTTCTGTGTCGACGACGGTGAAAAATCGCGCTTAAATTTAAATCCTCTATTATGGCATACACAATGTTGTAAGGCGAGTCCCGTGCTCTACCCCAATGGAAATGCTTGCTCAATTACCAGAAGGACGTGCTCTTACTGCCTCAATATAATATTTGTCCCGCAGACTGTCGCAATTTCAGGGACAGACAAAGCGCAGCTAAGCGAAACTTTAATCAACTGTCAATAATTGATGATAATCACAGCGCAGTGTAATATTGTTTATCAGCAGATACAACAACAACAACAACAACAACAACAGCGAGAGCGAAAGCGAGAGCGAGAGCATCAACAAACGGCAGCAACAAAGACAACCAACGAGTGATTAACTTAATAAACGACTGAATGTGGGTGGATTGGGGAGTGGACCGAACAGTGAAGCAAAACAAATCGAGAGTCGAGCAAACAAACAAACCAAACGGCAAGTGGATAACAAACACAAACCGAAATTCGTAAAATATTCCGTGCTGAGTATGCACGACTTTAATATACCTAACCTAACCTAATAAAAGTACAGCAACGAAGAAAGTATACAATTTGGTTGCATATGAAAAACACTGGAGAGTCAAAAATATCAAAGCTTGAACTAATAAAGGATGATCGATAACATTACAATTTCCTCTGTATCAAATACAAATCTATTGCATCAGCCATGTTATTCGCAGCTTCAAATATTTATGATAATTAAATAGTTATTTCTTATTTACTTTTTTTTACATTTAACATGAACATAACAGGACGGGACAACTTTGAATAGAAGAGAGCACAATAGATAAGTTTGATCGTTTTACAGCACTAATATCAACCAATTGCAAGCTGAATGATAACACTGGTAAGCGACTGTAACTGATTGTGAATTAGAAGCACACATTTACACCTTAAGCTTCCCATTGACAATATTTCTTGCTTAGCTTAACAGCGTAACAAATAAACCCAATGAGGAAGGGGTATTACTGGCGACTAGATAATTGAACACAATTATTGCAACGGCATGCGGGCCAGACAAGGGGTGAGTGAACCAGATGGCTAAACTTTCTATGGATAGTATTTCGATCGCTTATCATGGGGGTCACGGCTGCAGTCAGCGATAATTATCTTAGTAGCCGTATCAATATAATTATAATAGTTGGCTAAAAATAAATAGAAAAAAATAGTCCCGTGCCAGTGAGTTGCTTTTCTGACTGTCATTACTATATTAATATATGTATATAATATAAAATAATAATAACACGTAATATGAGCATGTACCGACGGCAACATTAGTTAGGCGAATAATGATGCTGCCTCTCAGCGGCATCCGAGCACGTGAGAACCCATCCTCAATGACCATGGGTGGGTTAGCAGAACAGCACTGTCAGCCCCATTTTTAGCCCTCGTGTAGATTATAATGATAAGCCACATGCATGCAAATTGCTTGTAGGCGGCATTAAATTTAACAGCCATGTGCACACGCACACACACACACACACACACACACATTCCGCATACACTTGAAATTTTCACGCAAAAGTTTGTATGGAAAATTCAACCTACAAGCCGACTCCTTCAAATTGTTTTTTTTTTCTCGCTTTTCACAGTAGTTCAAGGCATTGACACAATAGCCAACTGTTCTCTGGCCCTCGCCTCTGGTTTCATTGGCATGCGTGTCGGTGTGGCACTTGATTGCTCGACGAACCGTTAAGCAGCTGACACGGCCCTTTGACCTCACCTTGTGCTCCTTGAACCGCGCTTTCAGCTTATGGCAACTGGTGGCAACTTTTCCTTGTTTTTTTTTTTGCTGCCACATGACAAAATGCCTATTGGTATTTTCTTATTTGAATGTTTTTCACTTAAGCGACAATTTTTCCAATTTCGTTTTTGACACTTTGAACTGTCACGGGCCAAATTTGCAACAGCCGTGCGAAATTGGCTAGAAAATTGTCAACTTTAGCTGATAAAATGATAAGCTTCACATACTTGCGTATATACACAGTGAGCTCTTGCTATAAAGTTCATTGGATAACTTTCTTAAAGCTCTTCAAATCAAATAATAGGTTGAAATCTGCTTGTAAGCAACCAATTTACACAATTCTTATGAGCAACTACTTTCGAGCTCGCATCCCAAGGATATTTATGGAAAGTCAAATGTTGCGTGAGTGTTGTTTTAGGTGAAGTAACAAAGATCGATTATGTCGTTTTCAGACGTCAAATCACCGCGCGAAGAGTTATGTCGATCTAGAACGGACTGCCTTCCTTGGAAAACTATACGACAATTTGTTATATCATGTCTATTCTCTCACTTTCAATTCCATTACAATAGACAACTGCCAATCTACTAAATGAAAGTCTATTGTAATACCAAACTGATATCACAAAAAATTTTGATAGGCCAGAGTTATTGCTCAAGAGAGAATTGAAAACAAATGATTTACTTTTCCATTATAACCGTAAAACTGAAGCAAAGCAAACAAAAATATAAGCCCTAAAAACATCTATTCCTCTACAAGCTTAAAAATATATTGAAATTTTTAGACCACATTGCTAATACGCAGCGTTGTCTGCTTTTGCGCAACAACTGGCGCATCCATTATTAGCTGATCAATGGCCGGAACTGCGATTTATCTGAGCATCCATTGATTAATTTTGAATGTCACGGATGCCCTTTGCTCTTTCCGTTGCATTTTTGTTGTTGCTTTGCGCCTAAATAAACCACTTTAACTTTTACGAAGCACTTGCCTGAAGTTTTGCATGGCTCGGCACATAAAAACCAAAGTCTGGGACTGCTTTTGGGCGGACCATCTATCAGCCATAAAAGCGTTCCTGGGCGGAGCTGTCGAAGTGCAGCCGCCAGTCGCATGTGAGCACAGAAAATAAGTGTGTGGCATTTTCATAAATAGTTTTATGCAGGACATCAAATAATGCCACATGAAAGCCGCAATCAGCCAGAACATAAGCCCCACCATTTGTGCGCGTACAGATTTCTGTGCCTTAAAGAGCATTTGGAATCTAATAATTCCAACAGTTTACACACTTCTTTCACAGCTCAGGCGCACTCCATGATTTCGCCGTCGTGTGTGTTATGCAAATGAGCATCTGGCATGGGTGTCCTTTCATTTTTATTGTTCCTAGTACTGAAGGCGTTGAAGCATTGGAATTTCGTAAGTGCCGCAGTAACAAAACAAAACAAATAACACCACAAAGTGGGGGGAACAAAAAAAAAAAAACAAAAGAAATAGGAAACAAATAATAAAAAAATGCGTTGAAAGTTTTATATATTTTGCGTATACATTTTTGCTTGCGCCTTTGCAGGAATGTAGGTGGGCGTGCCAAAGAGGACGAAAGGGTTCCTGTGGCGGGCTTGACTGAATTTCTTAAGCAGGGAATTTAAATCTAATATAAATTCGGTTGCCAGCCAAATAGGATCTGTAAATAATAAATATGCTAAAAAAACGGACGCTCTAAGGTGACAAAATGTACAAAATCGAATAAAATTTCATTGAGGAGAAAGGGAAAAGAGTTTAAGAAGAATATATGATTCTCAAGATGCGCCTAAAAAAAATAATAAAAAATACTTATTAGTTTATCCAAAACTAGGAAAACACGCTAGTTTTTACTTTTTACACCCTGAAGGAGCGTGTTGAGCTTATGCAATGCAATGTGGCTCTGTACATTCGTAAAGTACAAGTAAGCACGAATCCCTCCCAACTATAAATTATGTATATGCAGACAGTAGAAACCTCCAAAAGGCGTGCAACATACTCACCAAAAGAGAAAAGCAGCCGGCAACAAATGTGGGGCAGCTGCGGAGGGCGACGGCTAACCACGGCGGAGCACGGCGGATCTGGGAGGTACCTGCCGTAGCGGCTGCTTTAAGAACTTTTAATATTTAATGGGGCACGCTTCTGAATTTGGATAAAGGACGCAGCTACTCGCACGAGTCTCATGCAGATGCATATAATTGTATTTTATGTTTATTTGGTTTTATTTATGGCATTTAATTTGATTTTTATGTACTTTGATTTCCATTACGCACAGCAGATTTACCGTCGCGTAAGACTGCTGGGGAATTGGAGGATTCGCCATAAACAATATGTGTATGTGTACAATAAATTTGTTAAAACGACCCGACGACGCAAATATAATTTTATTTTATATTATTTTATTTCGTTTTGGTTTTGCTTTTGGTTTTTACTCGCTTTGTGCAATTCGCACGTGTGGTTCGTTATAATTTTGTAGGCGTGCTGCCCGAATTTCTCAGCACAACAAATAAAAAATATAAAAAAAATCTCAGCAGTCGATGATGGCTCCTGCCTGTGTGCGCAAATCATATAAAGAAATTTTGGTTTTTATTTGGTGTTTAATGCCGTACTTACTGCCGGCTTAAATCTAAAATTCTTGAGCGCTCTTCAATTAAATTGCCTGAAAAATTGATGCGCTCAGCCGTCCCGAATCCCGCCCCTAAATGGACCCAACGTGGTCCTTTGCCAGTGGCTTCTGCCAGTTCGTAATGAATTTAAATGAGCCACCGTCGGCTGCTGAGATATTTTCATTATTTTCATGCATTTTTTGTTATTTTCATTATTGTATCTGCTTGTGACGTTTCTAGCGCGCCTTTAATTAATTATTTTAATCGTATTTAAATTGCCGTTTTTTGATGTCTCTAACTAGCGCGGCTCGCTGAAGCTTACAACATAATAATGTCAAATTTATTTTAACCAACAAATTTGTTATCTAAATTAAAGTGGATACACATAAATAGTAAGAGGCGAATGCGTGCTTTCATTGAATATATTAATTATGCAAGTATTCATAAAATACAAAATTTGTAATAGAAAAATCTATTGAACTTTTTAATACTTATAAATCCCTCATTAATTCTAAAACTTTCTTTACATCAAAAGTAATATCAAATGCATTTATTTTTCGTTTAATATTTTTAGCATTTAGTTTTTCTTGCTTTTACTTTGATTATTATTTCGAGTTTTTTGCTTTGTTTAAGCAATTCAAAAATAATCCGCATTGCTTTAAAAATGTTATTTAAGTATAACTGATAACATTGATAATTTTGTCTCAAAAATATATTTTTTATTTCAGTTTAATTGAGAATTTAATTTATTAAAAAATATAATTTTATGGATGATTTTTCTTCTTACTGTGTTGTTTTACATTAATAGACTTGTGTCTGTTTTTAATAAATTGGGATGTTAAATTGGAAAGTCAATTTTAGTATTTAATATATTTATATTTTACTTTAATAAACCATTTTTGTTAAAGCTTACTGTTTTTTATAATTATTATATTTTTTGATTCATTTTGAAAGGGTTATTGAAATTTAACTCGTAGAGTATTTACTTATTATTTATTTGGTTAAAGTCCTTGTCTTTCACAGGTGAATTGAAATTAAGTTTATTTAATTTAAATTTATAATTTGTTTATTTTTTTTTATAATATTTGTATCTTAGAATTGAAATAAATTTCTGCCACTTCTAAAAGAAGGCAGTTGGAAAATCCGCGAGAACGACCGCGCGTCGCAAACTGCGACTGGTAAATGATATCTGCGCCACTTGGCAGGACGACGGTTAGTGCAATAGTTTTTTTTTCTGGTTATTCAAAAACTAACGGTAGCAGCGACAACGAAGCGCACTTTGAATATTGGCGACACGCAAAGGAGCAAAAGAGAAAAGGACGTCGCAGCAACAGCCGCCCAGGAGCCAAAACGAAACCGCACGCGACGTGCAACAGCCGCCAACTGATGGGTTTATATCTGCCAAAAGCAGTGGCTGTAGCGGCAGCAGCAGCAGCACCAGTAGAAGCAGTAGAAGCAGCAAGTGCGCACTCATACAACCACAAGCATAGCCGCATACACACGCAAATTACACGCACACACAGACACACGCACACGCACACGCACATCGTTCGCCTGTTTGTTGATAACAGTTTTCGAAATTCGAAATCATCGTCAGCTGCTGCTGCTGCTGCTGCTGAAGGCGGGCAGCATTTTGTTACCCAAACGGAGGCAGAGCATCAACAACCAACGACAAGGTTCAGCATGTTGCATGTGCCACACGGTCCCAATCCCGACCCAGTCACCAGCACGAGCACAGTTGACGCATGCGCCGATAAGTAGGCAACAATTCATAATGACAACGTTCTTTTTCAACGCCTCGCAAGTTGGCGCCTCTTTTGGGGTACCGCGTTCACGTTTTCTGTTTGCATACCCTGTTTTCTGTTTGGATAATAGAGTATTTTAGGTTTCTATGTAGTACAATGAATTGCATAAAATTCCAAACCTTATAATTTTGTTTAATTTATTTTTTATTTGTATGCGAGAAGCAAAAATATTAGTATAAATTGATAATTAGAACACAAATTGGACAAAAATGATAAATAATTATTGGTAACTGCCGTCAATTTTTATTTTTAATTCAATTTAAGATACTTTTTTCGAACATTTCTTGAAAGGGACAAAGATTTTTTCCCAAATCCGCATTTAATAGTTTCGCTTATTAATTTACAACAATAAAGTGTCATTTAACCGCTTTCCAATAATTTCCTATATCTGCAAAAGAAGTTTCCCAAAACCACATACTTTATCCTTTAGTTAAATATATGAAAATATATTAAGTTGATTTTTAAACATTTTTTTATTGCTGCTCAAATTGGCTGCTCAGCTCCTGAAACTCTTAAATTGCTTACATTCGCTTTCATTCCAGGGTATTTCAATGTCGACCTTTGAACCAACTGTTAAAATCTTTGCTGTTTCTTATTATATGTTTTTTTTCTTGTTGTTGCCACCACATTGGGTTATTATCTTTATTGTCGTGCAATATTCGGATGGCTGTGAATGGAATTAGTCACCGTGCCAGCACTTGACTTTGCCACCGGCTTCAAGTTCACGTGCCGCTGGGGCACTAATGAATTATGCCAAAGTTTTTAATGAAGCTCTTAATGGCGTGGCAAAGGCATTCGCCGGTCGAACTGGCCCAGTTGTGAAGTGGTTTCAAAAATAGCACAGCCATTAGATAAGCCAGAAATATGAATGGAGCTTCAAAAGCTATTTATAACCATATTTGGTGTACCGGCAGATATATTTTGGTTCAGACTAAAAAGAAAATTATCGAAATTTCAAATTAACTATAGCAAATCAACATGAGTGCAATAATCAACTACAGCAAAGTACCTGACCAGGAGATACTCTTTGTTTACAAATGCTTCTTCTTACGCCAGCCACACATTTTGGGAAAGACAATCTTCAATATTACAGTTCAGCCCCTTTCTTGTTTTCAGTGCTCAGCTCTTGTATATACCTTAACAGTTATATATTTTCAGTCGGAATTGGATGCAGGTATCGAAAATGTAAAGTATTCGTCATGTGTGTATACAAGAGCCTTTAAACCCAGTTTGTTATATATCTAGCTATTATAATCTTCGAGTTAAGATTAGAAAACCATGTAGCTCCTATTCAAGAATAAATATACTTGATAGACTCAGAGATGCTTTCTTCTGCCTGTTAAATACACTTGCATAAAACATTCAAAACAGATAAGGGGTATAAAAATGGTGAATTTGAGGCGAAATTGATTTGCAGCAGATCAAATGCATTGCCTACTTACATGCGCAGCTTTCAACTGAATTGCGGTCAAAGATTGTTTTTTGGCTATGTTTGCCCTTGTCTGACCAGCTGCAAATTCCAGCAAAAAATTTCTCAACAGCTTTCACATGTTTGACAGCCCCAAGCTGGATTAGATGTGTGCGTGTGTGTGTGTCGCTGACAAGGGGAGGGTCTAAATGTTCACATAACGCCCGCTGCAATAACCACGGGCACTTTAAGGCAGCTGCAACACTTTGGGTAATCTGAAAAATTCAAGTGCAATCGGTTAAGCGGAAAGAAACTAAATGTTCAACTGAAACTGAAAATGCATGTGAACTGAATACATTTCTAGTTGATTCGCAAACAGAGCAGCAGACGTCAGCGGCAAACCTTAAGCGGTCTGAGCTTTGTTGAGTCTGTTATCAATTGCCTTAACAAGGACACACACTCACATACACACACACAGAAACACATGCGCGAACATATATTAACAGCAGACATGGAAAAGCATGGAAAGGAAGACGTTGAGACTGTGCTTCACTATGCATACTCTGGCGGGCGTGAAAAAATAATAAAACATAAATGCCATTTGACCTTGTGTCGCGCGCAGAATGTCAATTGTTGTTCGTGAGGCTGGAGGCCAGTCTGGACTCGGTGTGGTCGCAAGTTGGCAAGATGACAAAATGAATGATGCCCTGTAATGGTGACTGGGCGCGATTCCAAGTTCCTGTCATATCAACCGCCTCAACTGACAAATTGTGTCGCATACAGAGAGTTGACAAATTGATTGACTTGGCTGGTAGCATAATTCAATTATGCAAAAAATTATAGAATATTCACACAAATGCTATCAACTATGAATGAAAAACGAGCTGACCTAATTACCAACTATTCCTCACGCTCACTTTATTAGGCAATCAAGTTGAAAATCAATTGGTACTTTTGTACCTTTTGTCTATTGTGTATATTCATTACTATAGCATTGAATATTGCGTGTTTGTCCTGGTTTTTAATTGAGGCTAGGCAAGCGGGCACCATAAATGATATTAAATTGTTTATAGCGCAAGGTCGTGACGCTGGACACTTTTGAAATATGAGTTTTTATGCGAAATTGGGAGGTAAAATGTGACGCAATCAATAAAAATGAGCATCGACTATTGGGTGACATGCTAACATAAAGTCAAGCGACATGTTTACAATGTATTTTATCTATTTCTATTTCAATGTTCAATTGGTTCTATTGTGTATCGCATTAGGTATTTTAAAAAGTGAGCGCATTTTGCTCTATGTCTAAAGCTCACTGCTACAAGATTTTCTTCAGCATTAGGTGGCAGCTCTGCAAGTCGAAAATTGATGCAATTAAAAACATTTGAGAATGTTTAAGCTGGGGGTATATTATGTTTCCTAAATATAGGGTAGATTAATAACAGGAAATCAACAAGTCCTTTTATAATTTTATATATATTTTACTTTGCCCTTTCTAGCATACGTGCTGTTATTGTTATCGAAGCGTTGCCAGTGTTCGATAATCTAAGTGACTGAACAACACTGCCCGCCAGTTGTTTGTTTTGTTTGTACCTGCTTACAACGACGACGGCTGCAAGGTGAATGAGTTTTGCGTAAAAAAAATTATAAATTAACAGCTGCGCGTGTGCCATTATGTGTGTAAACACACACATCGAAAGACAAACACATGGCAAATAAAATTCGTTATCGCTATCAGCATATTGCACTTGGCGCCAATGCCGACGCCGGCGGCCGCAGGCGCCAATGCGAAATCATATTTATTTCACTAGTGCAAAAATTGAGAAACGTAAAACATAAACAAATCGCTGATAAGCCGTTTAGCTGCTGCTATTATCAATGCACCGGTCATTTAGAAACATTCCTTCGTATTTGCGCCCGCAACAACAAAATTATCAAGTTATACTTGTTGAGCAAGTTAAACGCCCAAGAAACTACCAACAATGGTGAAAATATTTAATGCTCTGCCCGCACAGCGGCGACAGCGACGCAGCCACTGACCTTTATTTGACTTTTACGCTACCAGTGCCTGCGCTCGGCAATGAAGAAAAAAAGACATTGCCTGCCACACACACACACCGCACAGACGTCGTGTCTGTAGCACTCCGTTGTTGTTGTTGTGCTGTTGTTGTTGCTGGAGTTTCTTGCAGCCGCTGCGTGTGTCGGCGACAGTCACAGGCCAAGACATCAGCACAGCCTTAGTTCGGAAATATATGTACATACATACATATGTGTATACGCATATACTATGAACATATATATGCGCACACACTAGAATATCTGGCCGCGCGTGCAAGAGACGCCTCGCCGCAGTTCACGCTCATCAGCTGAAATTAAAATTAATTCAATAAAAGCGTAAGAAAATGAATTGACCATGTGCCAAACGACGACCAATTGAAATTGAATTTTCATTGTCAAATCTTTGCCGAAAATGAAGACTCCGCTTCTTTACTTTTACTTTCGAACAGCAACATGCTGTCGATTGCCAAATGTCACATACGATTTTTTTTTGTTTGTTGTTCAACAATTTCCGAGTGCCTAAATGTGAGACAATTGCTGTGCAACCTTTCTGATGTGCCCATGATACCTCAGATATTCAAGAAATGTTTGTATATATATATATGTTCTTAACGATTTTTAAAGTTGAAGAAAATCAGAACTATATTAGGTTTATCACGAGCGTCTGTTAAAACCTGGGCCGGGCAAAGCTGGGTAATGCCGGATAGGCCCGCTGCACCGATCATAAATACCCATTAATGCGCTGCAGCTGTTGTGCGTGCCTCGTGATACGTTAAGAATTACGTTCATCGTTGTAACTAAATAGTTAAAGTCATTAGTGCTAACACTTGTTGGAAATTAAGGCAACAGTAGCTATGCGGACCTTACGTAAGATTGACTAAAGTTGGTAAAATTATTTGTTACCATTTAAATCATAGACAATAGAAATATTTAGTTTGGTAGATTAGACTGTGCAAAAAGTATCTGGCAGGCAACCAGACTAAATACCTTTTTGTAATTTCAATTAATATTGAAAATATTTGTAATATTTTCCCAGCGTACTTACATAATTTGCATTATTCCGTAGTCAAAAGTTTTTACGAAAATATTGAGGGATTGCATTTACATAAATGTACATACTTTGTAGTACATACATATATTTATATATATATATATATATTAGGAAATTGGCAGCGGCAGCGATTTTCTTTGCTCATTTCGAACTCAACTAAATATAGCAGACCCCAAATTATGGACGCAACCCGACGACGACGACGACGCCGACGACAGTGTCAGGGCCATTGCCGGGCGAGGTGCTGCGTTTGATGTTATCAATTGTCAACTATCAGTTCAGAGCTGGGGCGCACCTCCAGCTAGCTAAGTGCCGGGTTGTTGATGTTGATGATGCAACGCGAGCGGCCGGCGCTTGACACGATGACGATGAGGCTTTGGTAGCACCAGCTTACAATTTACAGCTTAACGCTTGTATCTGGGTCAGCCGGCAGCTAAATTTAGTTACGATTATCAATCAGTTTGCTTCGATTGCCTGGTCCGGTAGGTTGTCCGCTTGACCAGTCTCCCGGCCTGTCCACTGCCAGGAACGCTGTCGGAGCCTTACAATGTTGCGGCGCCAAATGTCCTATCGGTTTGAAGATCAAGATTCCTCGTCTATGGCTTTGCGGGTTGGCTTCAATGTTTTAATTTCGTTTGTTTTCTATTCTATTTAAATCATATTTAACACGATTCTTTCTTTTTAAACACAGATGAATCGTCGATTTTCTCGGGTGGAGTCCGGCACGGATCTGAAGGATTACTTCGATCGCGGCGATAATGCATCGCGCGAGAATCGCTGGAACTTTGAGGTCGCCTGGGAAGTGGCCAACAAGGTTGGCGGCATTTATACCGTGATACGCTCCAAGGCCTATGTGTCCACAGAGGAGATGGGCGAGCAGCTGTGCATGATGGGCCCCTACAAGGAACATTGTGCACGCACCGAAATGGAGGAAATTGAATTTCCACGTGGCAATCCGCTGCTGGATGCGGTCAATACGTTACGCTCGAGAGGCTACAAAATTCACACCGGTCGGTGGCTCGTCGATGGCAATCCCCAGTTGATACTGTTTGACATTGGCTCTGCTGCCTGGAAATTGGATCAGTTCAAGTCCGAGATGTGGGAGAAGTGTAACATTGGCGTACCCCATTTAGATATAGAGACGAACGATGCCATTATTCTAGGCTTCATGATTGCTGAGTTTCTAGAGGAGTTCCGCAACTGTGCCATCGCCTTCTCCCAGAACAATGATTTGAACCCACCGCGCATTGTCGCCCACTTTCATGAGTGGCAGGCCGGCGTGGGTCTGATAGTGTTGCGCACACGACTCATTGAGATCGCTACCGTGTTCACCACGCATGCCACTCTCCTGGGTCGCTACCTGTGCGCTGGCAACACCGATTTCTACAACAATCTCGACAAGTTTGCTGTGGATGAGGAGGCCGGCAAGCGTCAAATCTATCATCGCTATTGCATGGAGCGTGGCGCCACGCATTTGGCGCATGTCTTTACCACTGTCTCGGAAATCACAGGCTACGAGGCGGAGCATCTGCTCAAACGTAAGCCAGACATCATAACGCCCAATGGCCTGAATGTCAAAAAGTTTTCGGCCATTCACGAGTTCCAGAATTTGCATGCCGTTGCCAAGGAGAAGATCAATGAGTTTGTGCGCGGTCATTTCTATGGGTAATTACAATTGACAGTTTTACACAGTGCTTAAACATCCCTTAAACCGATCCCCAACTTACAGCCACATGGACTTTGACCTGGATAAGACGCTGTACTTCTTCATTGCTGGTCGTTATGAGTTTGGCAATAAAGGCGCCGATATATTCATCGAGGCGCTGGCTCGTTTAAATGCGATGCTGAAGCACGAGCGTCCCGATACCACTGTGGTGGCCTTCCTTATCTTTCCCACCAAGACGAACAACTTTAATGTTGATTCGCTGCGTGGTCATGCAGTCATCAAGCAGCTGCGCGATACCATCAACAACGTGCAGCAGGCGGTGGGCAAGCGCATGTTCGACACATGCGTTAAGGGTCACATACCCAGCCCCGACGAGCTTTTGCAGAAGGATGATCTGGTGAAGATAAAGCGTTGTATGTATGCCATGCAGCGTGATTCAATGCCGCCGGTTACCACGCACAACGTGGCTGATGATTGGAACGATCCGGTTCTATCTTCAATCAGGCGCTGTCATTTATTCAATTCGGTTCACGATCGTGTCAAAATGGTCTTTCATCCGGAGTTTTTGACATCGACGAATCCACTGTTCGGCATCGATTACGAGGAATTTGTGCGCGGCTGCCATTTGGGCGTGTTCCCATCTTACTACGAGCCCTGGGGCTATACACCCGCCGAGTGTACAGTGATGGGCATACCAAGTGTAACCACAAATCTGTCGGGTTTCGGTTGTTTCATGCAGGAGCACATCAGCGATCCCAAATCCTATGGCATCTACATTGTTGATCGTCGCTATATTGGTTTGGAGAACAGCGTACAGCAGTTGTCCAGCTTTATGATGGAGTTCTCACGTCTGAATCGCCGCCAACGCATCATTCAACGCAATCGCACGGAGCGGCTCAGCGATCTGCTTGACTGGCGTACGCTGGGCATTGTAAGTGTAGCTAGAACACCCCTTAAATCGGACAAATATTCATATCTCGTCTCTCTCTTCTCTGTTTTTCTCAGTACTACAGACAGGCTAGGGTGAAGGCCTTGCAGGCCGTCTATCCTGATTATGTGGATGAGAGCTCTGCGTATGGTTCACGCAGCAATTTGATCTTCTCACGCCCACAAAGCGAACCGCCCAGTCCCACATCTTCGCGTAAGTTCTAGGTTATCATTTAAAAGGATTAATAAAAAAAAAAAACCCTGTTATATTTCAATTGATTCTTATTCCAAAATTTGTATTTATGTATATGTGCAGTTGCCTTTAAAATATCATAGTCCCTTTTAAGTCAAGCGGCTAGCTTATTTTAAATCATAAATATTAAACGCGATATTATATTGTGAAACTTGCGGATCATAATCGCAGCTATGAGCATATGCGTTTATATATTTATAAATATTATATATATATAATATATAATAAAAAATTGCGGATCATAATCGCAGCTATGAGCATATGCGTTTATATATTTATAAATATTATATATATATAATATATAATAATATAATATAAATATCCATAGAGGTAGTCCGGTTGATATGTTATCTTTAAATGAAATCATGTGTTTCAATGATTTCTGAATGTCAAATCGCATTCAACTACAGTTAACAGTTGCGATAATGAATCACAAGATACGCAATGCAATAATATTAATGAATTCATGTAAGCTAGCTAGCAGCAGTCGAAAAAAAAGCTAACCTTTTTCCTCTCTATTTTACAGGACACACCACACCAGCGCCATCGCTGCATGGCTCCGATGATGAGGATTCGGTTGATGAGGAAACTGAGCTGAAGGAACTGGGCATTAAGTAAACCAAACTATTCTGATGTCAGCACTGGCTTTACGAACAATTCATACAGCGCAATATTACCATAAGTTTAGTAATTTTGTTTCACACGTTCAAAGGGCGCACAGTCGAACAGACGACCATGCCCACAAAGAGAAACTATCTACCTACAATGCTACAACTGTTTTCATAAACCAATTTCTACGCTCTTACGCAACAGTTAGAACAATTTGAGTATTTTTTGCCAATTGCGAAAATTCTATTTAATGTTGTTTAGTCTATAAGCAGATCAAAGTCCCAACAACAAAACGAATGTTATTAAAACAAATTAAATTATTATTTACCCAATTACACAACAATCGGCCACTAATTGACCTTATCAAATTTATCCAAATATATAATTACTAGAATGCGTATTCGCAATTTGTTTGTTCTTTAAGTTTTGTCCCAACCAAAATACTGCAAAATGCAAAGCATAAACAAATGTTGATTATCGGGCAAATAGAAAAGTTATACGCAGTTTGTTGAAATTAGATTAAATATATATAAATATATAAAATATATATATATATATATATATATATATACATGACAAATGATATATTGAACTATGAAATGAAAAAATTTGCTAAGCCCTTAAGGCTAGTCCCCTTCAATTATGTAACCTCATATAATATACTGCCTCATATTGATTAACCAACGATTGGATATATTGTTCTATAAACGGTCTTTGCAACGTATAAAAAAACCGAGTAAAAAGTTTATAATAAAGTTGAGCAAGTCTATGTTACAATCATATATAAAACAGTTTGTCCTGACTAAGAGTGACCCACTAACTGGTTCGTGATCAAACTGTGAAAAGTAAGAAGCTAAGCTTTTCACTGGAAATTATATCATGGAGATGCACTTTAAGCGGGGTGTTGAAAAATTCCACCCGTAGGTGTAGAATAATTAGTTTGTATGAAACTCTTTTGTTTAACATCCGATTGGCCTCAAGCTTATTTTTAAAAATCTTTTTTTTTAAATCATTTCTCAATTTCTCTTGGATAAAGTATGCGGTTGACAGGTTATAAGGGTGGAGTTTTATGTTTTGTTCCATGGTCCACAAGCAATTTAAAGCAATCCATTAAAAACATTATTATGTGTTCCAGCGATTTTGTAAAATCCACCCAAACGTGCGGAAATTTGGCTTCAAACTCATTTTCTGTGATCATTGTGGAAAATTTTTGAAAGTACATTTTTCAGCTTAAAGATTCCCACCTCAAGATCGGCGGAAACCGATTCCATCTTTTGTTTTTTTTTTCCGAATGATTTTATAAATATTTTCAAATAGATTACCTTTTTCACTGGCGAAACATTGGTGAAAAAAAATATTTCTGAAATGTGAAGCAGAAAGTTTTCACGGCCATATTGGAGAATACTATATTTGTGTATATATATTACTGATCATGACCAGATGATTTTTTTTTACTATAGAAACTACATTATTTTTCGTACCATATGTACATAATTTATATATTTTTTATATAAAATATAAATTGTGTATTTTATGCACACTTTTCTCTCAGTTTTATGTGTATTTTGTGCTCTCGTAAATCGTCATCAGGTTAAGAAAATGTTCCTTTTTTTGATGACTTCACCTCTTAACGAAATTGAGTTAATCATCAGAAACTTAGATAAGCGATTTGCCCGATATGGTCAAGCCAAAGACAATATAAGCACTAAGAGGAGTAACGCCTATACATTTGAATGCGACGTAAAATTTCTGGCCTGGCCTTTCATCTGGCCTTTGAGGCTTCGTACGGCATGCCTGCCGACAGGTTGTTCGTTCTCCAAAGACCAGACGAACGAATGCCGAAGTCGCGGCTCGCTGATGCTGACACGAGCTACGAAGTTAGTCGCCAGCCTGCCTTCCGCAAAGCTTTGCGTCACTTCGTTTTCGAAGTACATTGAGCGAAAAAGTTTAGAACTTACGATCGACTGCTCTGGCTTTAGCTGGCAAGAAATTAATTTTGTTAGTTTTCTAGCGCAGATCCTGAACTATCCCAATTTTGTGTTGATATATAGGAATGCATTTTGTGTACTAGGGTTGGCTCCGCAGAAAATATGTATTTCTTAGTCGATGCAAATATTTACATTTCTTTAAATTAAATTAATATTATTTTTATTCCCCAATTAAGAAATAAAATAGTGCTAAAAAATACAATTACATTTCAAGTCGACTCCAAGCTCATATTTAGTTATAATTATAATGGCCTCCTCGCGGTGTTGTTCTTTATAATTCTAACAAAAAATAATAAAATAAAAACAAAATAATAATTAATTAGTGTTTATATTGTCTTTGGTCAAGTCCATTTATCTGTTTGCTTAATCGATGAAAGTAGTAAAATAGGGGGAATAGAATCTGAGTCAGTCAATGATGCATCAGTCCAATTATTCGAACAGCCTGATTCATGGTCTTAGAAATTTACTCACATATTTTTCCCCTTGAACGCGTAATCTCCCTTCATAGATTAAAATACATCGCAGCCGAAGCAATAATAATGTGGACTGAACAAAGTGTGTTAAATTTTGTTTTATTACGTTAGCGCCATGTATGCAATTTTTAATAGGAGTTCTCTTTTCTTGTATTTTATTCTACTTTTTTCAACTTCTTAAAATTGAAAAACGTTTTGGACTCGTTGGCTGTGCAGCTGGAAATCCTTGCGTGGCTGAGGTAGTTTTGCTAGGTTATTTGCTAGTGTGGCGGCTGTATAAAGAACGTATAAACTTGCCATTACTTTGGCGGCGTCGTCGACGCTGGGCGGGCACATCGTAGCCCGGATCGTAGTCATAGTCCTTTGAGTCCTCCTCCAAGTGGGCTGGAGGCGAAGGCTTACGTTTGGGCACATCGTTACCATTGTCGCCGCTCTTGCAATCTTCCAATTGGCCATCGGCGCCCACACACTTTTCCGATTCCAGCACCCAACCGCTGTCGGTATCGGTGTCATTGTCCAGCTCCTTGTCCTGGGCAGTGTCCTTTTCTTGCTCCTCCTCCTGCTCTGGTTCCTGCAACTGGCCCTGATCCTCGTACATTGGTGGCGGCTGATAGTTATTGAAGTTTAGATATGGATAGGGTGCATACAAAAGCGGCGTGGGAATCAATGGGGCCCCGTAATTTACAAAGCAGCCGGAGCAACCGGCTGGCAGCCCGTTCTGCAAGATGTAGCCATAGTTCAGTTGCAAGCAGTTTTGGCAGCTGCTGCGTTTCAAACGAATGCTGTTCGGATCCTGGCCACAGGCAACATAGGGCCAAGCGCTCAAGTTATAACAGCGTGGAGCTTGGGATTGCGATTGGGATCGGGTTGGGCTACGAGTTCGGGCTTGCTTTCGTGGCTTGGACTTGCGTCGGTGAACCGGAACATACTCCACGGTCTCCTGGCACACATCTGGCTGATCCTTCTCGCAGATGACCACACGCTTCGCGTGCATTACTCGCGCTTGGCAACGCTCGCCACAAACCCGATGACGCGAGTGCTCCCTGCAGTGCTCCTTGTGCTCGCAGACTCGCTCTCGGCGCACCACATAACAGCAGGAGCCCTGCTCATTGTAGCCCAGACCAAAGCGGCCGCCCACCTGGGAGACATTCTGATGCACCTTGACATTCACCTCGTTGCGGCCCTGAATTTTGGTTTTGATAATATTGTTAATCTCGTTTGTCAGCCTTATGATATTCGTGGTGTTCAGGGCCGGCTGTGCCGGTGCCACGTAGCTGGTATCGTTAACACCCTGCACCAGCAGCGGCTCATCCGTAAGCTCCGGGCAGAGAGGACACTCCGACTCGCACTTGTCCCGCCCGGCACAGGTATCCATGCAGCTCTGTCGATTCGCCTGGCAGTCCTCGTAATCGCGCAACGATGGCTGCTCATAGTTCTGCAGCGGCGTATGCAGCACAATCTTATCCCTAATGGTATCGTTGACCTCGCCACTGACCCATGGTCCCATGGCCAGCAGCAGCGCACACGCGATAGCGGCAAGCTGCAAAAGTTGCACATTATAAGATACGAATCAAGTGACATTCCGTCATACCTCCGATGAAATAGCATTATATATGAATAAGTTGGACACCTACCTCCATTTTCAGAATATTTGGAGCAACTGGCTCTGTTCCCTTCGAGTTGTTAGTTGCAAACTCTTTTTTTCTACTGCAGCAAAAACTGTGCTCCAATTAAAAAATGTGGTAATTATTAGATAGCGCTACCATTGATTAGATAGTGTTACCTTATAAAATTGATTATGCTCCATTTATCGGTTTGAGAGAGAGATAGAGCGAGAGAGAGAGAGAGCAAGAGAGAGCGCGAGAGCGAAAGAGTACCATGAGTTAGACCATCAATTAACAGGTTGACCAACAAATGCATCATATATTTATTTTTTTTTTTAATTTTAATGTTTTTTTTTTTTGTATTAATTTAAGCCATAATAAAATGTCAGATAGCGATGATAGCAGTCCCAGTGGTACACAGGTGAATCAGGTATGAGCACGTCATGCACAGCAGAAGGTGCAATAGTTCACGACGAGAGTTGAGTAAATACTCAATAATGACTGTTCGCAAATTATGCTACTCTTTTAATACGCTCTAACTTATTTTGGTCTATGTACTTTGGCACATTCTCGCATAAGCATATTTTTTAATTATACTAACTTAAAGCTAGGTGATAACCTGTGTCCAGGTTTGAGTTGGCTTGACCTGTTTGACGGATTGTTGACTAATTGGCGATAATTGATCTATGCCCAGGCTTAACAGACAATGATGCTTTTGGTATTTGAGCGTCGGACTGACTAGCGCGAAATTACCGGTTCAAATCCATCATCGTCAAGTCTTATATTTGTTTACCAATTTCCAATAATAATTTGGCCCCACGCAGCGGCAAACAATTTACGTACCACTTGCACTTTCAATAGAAGAGCATACAAAAGCGAGAGAGGGGGGAGGAAAAGTCTGCTAGAGAGTAAACACAAGCCTGTAAGTCATACTTGAATTCATGAGAATCGCATAGAAGGGCGATTTTTAAAAATTCAAGTTTTATTTTATTAATTTGCAAAACAAAAGTAAAAAAAAAAACATATTTTTATTTTTAACATTTAAAGCACCTATTGAAGCTGAGCTGGTCACATTGCCTATCGACGCCAGCCATCCTGAGGACGGCAGCCCACAGAGTCGGCAAATTGCGGCGAATCGCAAAATTGTTCTTGATCGTAGTAGGCACAGGTGGGGCTGTTGCAGCGGTAGTCGTAGCAGTAGGGGGAACAGGAGGACATCTGTCCCGAAGCACAGCCGCTGCAGTCATACCTCTCTAGAAGAGTTAATGGCAAAAGGAAAACCCATAAGAAACCCTTTGAGATCCAAATCTAAAAGTTAATTCCAGTCACCTGTGGCTTGCATGCAGTTGCTCTGCATTTGACAGCCGGCATTCCAGTTGGGCGGCATGCTGAGCATTTGGGCATCGTTGACATGCCAGGTGCTCACACTTGCTGGCCTTATCGCTACCTTAGGCGCGCTACAGAAGTCGCCGCACAGCTGCTGCCTCTGATTATAGCATTGCCAGCGATTACTGTCCGCCGGACAGCGGCAGGTGCGTGGCGCAATCACAGTGCAGCATTTGATTGGAGCTGATGGCGGAGGTTGTATCTCCTCCGCTTCCTCCACTTCCTCCTCGGAATCCTCCTCGTAATCCCTGTAATCCGTTGGTAGCGTAAGCGAGGCATTGACTGTTAAATGCTGCACATTATTTAGCACCAAGTCGGGCGTATTCTTTGAGTTCTCGTTGATGATCGTTCGCTGGAGATTAATGGGACTCAACTCAATCGGCTCGGGTAGAGCGCACTTCTGGCCCGTCCAGTAAGTGCCCTTGGGGCACCGCGGCTCCACACAACGACCGTTTGAGTAGACTTTTGAGCCGCAATATACCAGACGGCAGTTGTCATTTATAAGAACTGTGCCTCTCGGGCAGATACGCAGCGGAGCTGGCGGCGGTGTGGTCGTTGTCGTTCTGGTTGTCGTCGTTTTCCAGGTTGTTGTGGTTTCTCTGGTTGTTGTAGTAGGAGGCTGGTAGGGTCTATTTGTGGTCTCGGGTGGAACGGGTGGATACGGAGTTACAGGCTGATTTGGGCAGGGAGCAGGCTGGGACTGAGCGGGTGGATAGGGTGTTACAGGCTGATTTGGACAAGGTGCTGGCTGGGGCTGAACGGGTGGATAGGGTGTTACAGGCTGATTTGGGCAGGGAGCAGGCTGGGGCTGAGCGGGTGGATAGGGTGTTACAGGCTGATTTGGACAAGGTGCTGGCTGGGGCTGAACGGGTGGATAGGGTGTTACAGGCTGATTTGGGCAGGGAGCAGGCTGGGGCTGAACGGGTGGATAGGGTGTTACAGGCTGATTTGGGCAGGGAGCAGGCTGGGACTGAGCGGGTGGATAGGGTGTTACAGGCTGATTTGGACAAGGAGCAGGCTGGGGCTGAACGGGTGGATACGGAGTTACAGGCTGATTTGGACAAGGTGCTGGCTGGGGCTGAGCGGGTGGATAGGGATTTACAGGCTGATTTGGACAAGGAGCAGGTTGGGGTTGAACGGGTGGATAGGGTGTTACAGGCTGATCTGGACAAGGAGCAGGCTGGGACTGAGCGGGTGGATAGGGTGTTACAGGCTGATTTGGGCAGGGAGCAGGCTGGGACTGAGCGGGTGGATAGGGAATTACAGGCTGATTTGGACACGGAGCAGGTTGGGGCTGAACTGGTTGATTTGGACAAAGCGAATTTACGGATTGTGCGTTAGTAAACCCTGACGGAAAAACGTGTACCACAACTCCGTTTGCGCAGACTTGGCCTGAACCTGAATAATGATAAAACATATATATGAATATATATATATTGTGCGAACCTAATAAATAATCACTCACCGCATCCACTTGGAGTCGGAAAAGGCAGCACACAAGCCCCATTCTGAGGAACGTAGGGCACGTTACAAGAAATCGCTGCTTGCCCGCACGGAGCGTTCACGGCAACCGAGCTCTGGGGGCATTGGGCACGGGCGCTGGCTAGATGAAGAGCCAGCAGAGCGCAAGGTAGAAGTAGCACTTGATAGACGAGCATACCGATTAGAAATGATCTGTGAGCTGTGTTTGTGGCTTGGCCAAACGTTCAAAATGGCGCATTTCACCTAACACGTGCAGCTTTCCAGCAGAGGTTATCAGGACGGGGCAATTATGTTTTAAGCGCCACAAAACAATTTTCGTGAGCTGCAATCGATTAGTTGCCGTTCGAGCTTAGTTGTTAGAACATCGCCTGAAGCCGCATGGGAAAATGTTGACTTCGAACTGGGCGATAGTGTCGATATTCTGCGTAATATGCTCATCTGTGTGTGCCGTGGAAGGTTATCAAGATACTAATGGAGAGGTAATACGGCGTCGATTGCACAATTCGACAGATAATGAATGAAATCTTTATAGTGTCCACAAGGTTATGAGCTCGTCAATGGCCTGTGCTATAGGAAGAGCTTGTGTCAGGAAGGTAAGTTGAATATCCAATTGATTGGAAAGCTATTTATTTTAACAATAATTCGGATTAGGTTACTTTATGCATACGGATGGCATGTGCTATTCGATAAACCCGAAGCCTTGCCCCTACGCACCCACACCCACAACCCCGACACCCACAACCACGGGCCCAACCCAGCGCCCACCTGCTCCGAGCTTGTGTCCGCAAGGTCAGTAAAAATTGTATTCGATTTTAAAGCTTATACAAATATCAACAATTTGGTTAAGAATACTTTATGCATACCGACGGCAAGTGCTATTTGATAAACCCGGAACCTTGTCCAAATGCACCCACTCCTACAAGCACGACTACGAACACAACAACCACAACAACCACCACCACCACCACCACTACCACAGAGGAGCCCACCACTAGCGAGGAACCCACAGAAGAACCCACAACTACCGAGGAGCCCACAGAAGAACCCACCACTACCGAGGAACCTACCTTTGAACCTCCGCCTGTGCCTGAACCTGCTGAACAAGCCCGCTGTCCACCTGGCTCGATATTCTTTGAGGCACAGTGCCGCAAGATAATCTGCTCACAGGGCGAATACCATGCAGGTCGTTGTCTTATGCCCGCCTGTCCCGCGGGCACGGTGTGGCGCGGCAAGCGCTGCCAGCCGCCAGGCTATTTGACAACCATACTCGAGATAGATAACGTGATCAAGAACAAGCATGAGTATCAGACGGTGACAGAGAACGTGAATCGTGTGGAGTACCAGACCATTAGGCCCTACGATCCGAACGAGGATATCAGCTATGACAAAGCGAAGCCACCAACGAAATTAACAGTTTCGACCTCAACGTCAGCCAGTGTGACCCCACAGCCAGCGACGGATTGTTGCACGGTCAAGAGCCCGCGTATCTGTCGACCCTATCCACCAACATGGGTGTGCACTTTGTTGAAATTAGATTAAATATATATAAATATATAAAATATATATATATATATAATATATAATTAAGTTTTACACGTTAGGTTACTATAAAAAAATATATTTCAATTTATTATTTTCACTTAACGGCTACTTTTGTTGAGTACATTCAGATTTGCTTCCCGAATATGAACTGATTTATCTAACTGTTGCGGTCGCTTAGCAAACTTCGCTTTGAGAGAGTTTGAGTCAAAATTGAGTGAAGTTTGAGCTGCGTCAGCAATTATGCGTGGGATAGTACTCTGATGGGAACATTGACAGTGGCGTGATATTTAGGGTGAATTGTTTATGTCTACCAAAGGGGGACAGTTTGATCTTGACCAATGTCGATGTTATCACCAGGCTCTTTGTTTACAATATTAGAAATGTTTATAATTGTGCTTATGCTTATGTGCTAAGATATGTTAAAGGGTGGGTGCGACTATGGATATGTCACTCCCCCAACCATTAGAAAAGTGCCTGTCCTCAGGTGTTTAAGTTTGGATATAGTGTAACATTTTCTTCTTTTACAATTGGTATATCTCCTATTATTGTAGGTGTTTCTTCTACTTTGGGTTTTTTATATTTTATAATTAATTTCTTAGGTATGCTTTTGAACTTATATGTCAAATACAGTGTTAAACTTATTAATATGATTACAAATATGGTTATTGTAATTATCTGGAATACATTGTTAAATTTTGTATGTGCATTTATAATTTGTTTCGTTTGTACAAACGAAAGTGGTTCTAATTTTATAACATCATTGCTTACGTAAATGCTTTGAGTATAATCTAACATATTGTTTGAAATTGAAATTTCATTAATTTGCAATGAACAATTAAAGATTTTTATTATATTGTTTCCTTCTATTGTTATTTCGTTATTTATACAATTATGGTTTAATATAGTTTTTGGTAAATTCCAAGTTAAAATTATATTTGGTTCTATGTAGTTGATTTGAAAATTTTGCAAAATTTTAGTATAACTACATTCTGATGTTATTTGGTTTAAAATTCCTGTTAAACATTCATTATTAATTAATTTTTTTGTTTCTCTGCTATAAACTTTTTTATCTTGGGTAAAATATTTTTCATGAGCTATTTCTGTCAAAATATTATTATTTTCATCCGGGTATGGAATTATTTCGAATACCGGGCTTTTTATTATTTCTCGAGGAATATGGGATATTATCAGTATTTCGTTTGTATCTGATTTAAACCAAGTGGAAGTTTTTGTATTCAACAATTTCTCAGAATTAACATGCAACAAATAGTCATGTTTTAGTAATTTTGGGTTAAAAATTCCTAATCTTGTGAGCTGCATTCCCATCTCAATGTCTTCTATATATTCTGTAAAGTGTTGTAAGTTAAATATAAGGATATCTAATTTCTTTCCTTTTTGTTTCTCTTGATCTAGTTCGTTCATGATTTCTATTCCTTTGTTTATAGCTTCTATTATGTAATTTAATTCGTTAACCTGAACGCTGTTTTCTGCTAAGTTGCTTATTTTTTGTTCAATTTCTGCTTTGTCTTCTTGATTTAATGTTCCAAATAAGTATTTATATGCTGTTCCTACTATGTTAACTAAACCTCTTTTGCTACGTTTGGCTATTTTTAAGCCGTTTATTTCTCTGTTTAATTTTTCTACTAGGTATTCGATTTGTATAAGGTTATTGAATTCTTTACTTTGTTCAATTAAATTGTTAAAAGTTTCTTCGGTTTTTGTTGAGGTTATTTATTAGTTTTTCTTTATTAGCTTGAGTGTCATACTCTGGTGTACCTGCATATATGAATATGTCCGCTGGTGTTCTGTTAGTCGTTTTGTGCTTTGTTTTATGATTGTACGTGTAGAGTATAGTTTCAAATTTTGTAAGTTTATTTTCGACGTCTGAGTCGCTGTTAATGATTCTTAGTTTTTCGTTAACTGTCTTATGAAATCGTTCTACGTCGGATATACCGTTTTTACTAGTGGTTATATTAATATTTACTGCTTCTGATTTTAGCCATAATTGTAAAGCTGTGCACATAAAAGCTGAGTCTTTGTCTGCCTTTATTTCGATGGGTTTACCCATTTGGTTGAACACTTGTAATATAGCTCGTTTGGTTTCTAGCCAGTCTCTACTTTTTATTTCTATTAATGATGCAAATTTTGAATAGATATCAATGCAAGATAAAAATTGTTTATCTCCTACTATGTAAAAATCCATTACATATTTTTCTCGGATATTAGCGATTTCCGGAGTTATTTCGAAAGTTAATTTTGTATCTCTGTGTTCTGTTTTTGCGATGTTGCAAATCTCACATTCATTTATTAGATTTTGAATTAGATTTTGATAATCTGGGAAATAGTGGGTTTCTTTGAACCAATTGATAGTTTTTTCAATTCCTGGATGTAATAATTCTTTGTGCTTTTTTAATATTAATTCTTTGAATTCTGCGTATGTTTGAAGGTCTATTAATTTTGTACTAGTTTTCATTGCCTTTGTTGAATTATTCGGACTTATTATTTCTAAGTAGGCTTCTTGAAAAATTGGAAAATCTGCTTCGTTGTGGAAGTATAGCACACTTTTCTTTGTGCATAAGTATTCTTTTATTAATTCTTTGGCATGCGTATTAGTCATGTCTTTGTACGTAATTTTTATGTTGGTTTTGTGAAAGTAATTCGTAACTTTTGTTTCGTTCTCGGTTCCTTTTTCAAATTCTATTTGTCGATTATAATAATTAAGTGGTCTTTCTGTGATTTGTAAATGGTTACTGTTGTCTTCTTGAGCACTATGTATTGTTGCTCTTGTGCTAATTGTATCTTCGCCTAAGAAGTTTTCGTTTAATTGAATTCTGGACAGAGCATCTGCCACATAATTTTCTTTTCCTGGGACGTATTTAATTTGGAAATCAAACTCATTTAGCTTGATCTTCCACCTTTGTAATTTCATGTTAGGTTCTTTCATATTATTTAACCAGACGAGTGGTCTGTGATCACTAAGGATTTGAAATTGTCGACCAAAGAGATAGGACCTAAAGTATTTAGTGGCCCAAACGATTGCTAATAATTCTTTTTCAATCGTTGAATAATTTAACTCATGCTCGTTGAGAGTTCTACTTGCATAGCATATAGGCTTATGCTCTTGCGAAAGGACGGCCCCTATTGCCATATTACTCGCGTCTGTAGTTAATGAAAATGGTTTTTCGAAGTTAGGGTATATTAAAATTGGGTCGGATGTTATGAGTACTTTTAGCTTTTCAAACGCTAGTTCGTAGTCTCTGTCTTTTATATTGATTTTTGCTCCCTTTTTTAATTTAAGTGTTAATGGTTTTACTATATTAGCGAAATTTGGTATAAATTTCCTATAGAAACCACATAATCCTAGAAATGATTTAATTTCTTTTGGGGTTTTTGGAATTGGGAATTTGACAATTGCTTGTATCTTGTTGGGATTTGGTTTTATACCCTCAGTTGTGATGATGTGACCGAGAAATTCAGTTTCTTTTCTCATAAACTCGCATTTATCCAACTGTAGTTTTAAGTTAGCTTCTCTAAGCTTCTTAAATACCTTTTGTAGCGACAAAATGTGTTCCTCCAATGAAGTGGAAAAAATAATAATGTCGTCTAAGTAGACCAGACAATCCTTAAAAATTAAATCTTCTAAGAGATTGTTCATACAA